TCTTTCTTGCAATGGGAGAAGTGCTTAGACTTGGGTTCAATCTTGCGGTGTCCTTTCCCAGTGACAGTAGGGGCAGCAAGGCACGTATTGTATTATTGCCATCGAGGCTAAAAAGATGGGGTTTATATCATATTGCTTGAGCTTATCCCTCTACATCATGTCATCCTGCTTAATGTGTTATCTTTATGAACTTAATACTCTAGATGCATGCTGGATAGCGGTCGATGTGTGGAGTAATAGTAGTAGATGCAGAAATATTTCGGTCTACTTGACACGGGCGTGATGCCTATATTCATGATCATTGCCTTAGATATCTTCATAACTATGCGCTTTTCTATCAATTGCTCGGCAGCAATTTGTTCACCCACCGTAATACATGATATCTTGAGAGAAGCCAGTAGTGAAACCTATGGCCCTCGGACCTCTTTCGTATTATATTGCATCTCTTTTTTACATCGCATCTCGTTTACTATTTTGCAATCTTTACTTTCCAATCTATACAACAAAAATATCAAAAATATTTACTTTACTATCTCTATTAGATCTCACTTTTGCGAGTGACCGTGAAGGGATTGACAACCCCTTTATCGCGTTGGTTGCAAGGTTCTTGATTTTTTGTGCAGTTACTAGGTGACTTGTGCGTTATCTCCTACTGGATTGATACCTTGGTTCTCAAAACTGAGGGAAATAATTACGCTACTTTGGTGCATCACCCTTTCCTTTTCAAGGGAAAACCAACGCATGCTCAAGAGGTAGCAGTATGGCAGTCACTAAGGAGACCCATCGCATAGATGAAGTTTTTCGTGATATTCCTCCCAAAGATGGAGCCCTTGATCCCCTTGGATAAGTAGAGGGATTAGGTGTTTGAGCCTATTTGTTAGGATTTTGGCAATCACTTTGAATTTTGTAGAGAGATAGGACAAAAGGCATCTGTTGATCTAATAGGCTCTTTCTTAGGAAGTAGGATCATGTGGGCCATGTTAAAACGGTCGATGTTAGTAAGTTGGTGGTTGAAATCGTCGAAGACAGGTATTAGAGTACCCTTGATGGAAGACCAGAACTACAAGTAGAATCTTGGTCCGAGGCCATTCGGACCGGGCTAGCATTAGGGTTCATTTAGAAGAGGCACCAATGATACCATGGAAGGTTTTTATAGGATCGAAGCTTTTTGGTCGTGGGAGGTGAATTCGACCCCTGGTCCACAAGGATATCGATCTTATTCCTGCAAAACCATTGTGAGGCAGAAATATGAAAGTACTTGGTGTTTTCATCACCGTCAATGGTAGTATTAACTTTAGAGCTTCACTTCCAAAAGAGGATTTTTTGTGGGATTGCATGCTGAAGGGACATAATGATGACGAGTCTTGGAGAGGTTTTGGGTCACAAGATATTTCATTTTCCTGAAGGGAATCAATGCGATTAATAATAAGTTGGCAATCTTGTCTCTCTTGTGAGACAGTCTAATAGTTTTGGACCAACCCATTAGTCTGTTCCTGGTTTTCTTGATGGTGATGGCAAGGTGACTGTCAGAAGAGATGGGTTGACGGTCTTGAGACTAAGCAGAGGAGACAAACCTGCTGCAAGCTGGGTGAAGGGCCTAGAAGGTTTCAAAACAAAAAAAGGTGGGAGCGAGGGATGAGGGAAGAGACATTGACGACTAGTGGGACATGATCAGACGCAAACTAGGTTAGGGAGGAGAGGGTGGAGTTTGGGAACTTATCCTCCCACGCGTGGTTGAAAAAAGAACGGTATAGATGTTTGAGGGTCAATCCGAGGAGATTGTTTGACCAGGTGAAAGTGCGATCGAGAAGCAGTAGCTCAAGCAACGGGAGGTCCGAGATTGTAGTGTTAAACAGGTTTGCTTCCGAGGCGTGGAAGTTCACATTGTTTTACTCATTAGCAAAATGAATTAAGTCGAAATTTCCAATGATTAGCCAAGGCATAGCACCGTTAGGCGCAATGTCTGTAAGTTCCTGAAGGAATGCATGTTTGAGGGGGCATTGAGAGGGCGCTAAACATTAGAGGTAAGGAAGGTGATGTCAGATGTCGGACAAAAGAGTTTGAGAGAGGCTATGAAGAGGCCGTGAGAGTGGTCTAGCAGGGTGAGCGCAAGGGAGTAAGTTGACCGAGAAAATCGTGCCCCCATCCTAGGAGGGACACAAATTTGTCAAGGAAGCGGGGTAGAAACGAGTTTAACTTGGCAATGGATAATGTTTCTATCTTAGATTCTTAGATGAGAGCAACATACAGGTTTAAGGAGATACTCTCAGCGAGAATGCCACTGCACTTGTCACTGTCGCTAAACCTCTCACATTCCCTGATAAGATAGAGAAAGAGGTTCGATTCATAACGAAACCACGTCACACCGGGAGTAGCAGTGTTCCTACAAACACATTTGATGGTCCTCGTTTAAACCTCTGAATATCTCGTCAACTATAAAACACACCGAGCAAAGGCCTCCAAATAATAGCCATGCAAACACCTTGAAACTACCACCAGAATTTTGTAGTCACAAACCGTGAATGTTCTGGTCCAACATATGTATTTGTTAAAAGCGATTGTAGACAATTCTAAAAAGTTTAAGAATACATGATGAAAATTGAATTTCACCGACGACCGATCTCCATGACGAACCCGGTAGTTGAGCCTGAAACAAACACATTTGGGGTGAAATATGAGCCTTTCAACCATGAAGAATTGCCGCAAATTTGGGCATGAAATTCCAGTAAGAAACGCTTCAAAGGTGAAAAAGAAGGTATACACACACATGCAACATTACCACAGAGGGGGTAAAATAAAAAGGGAAGCCCTCTGGCCGTTAATCGGCAGGCTGCGCCAGATGCAGCCACAGGCAGCAGGATGTGGACGGTGAATGATGGGGTCGCGCATCCACCCTATCACGCGGACGTTCGCACTTGAGTGCGTTTCATCAAATAAAAAAAGCCTATCGTCTCCTCCGTCCACCTCATCCACCGGCCACCGGCCCAAATCGCCGCCGCCTCGCTCCTCCCTACTCCTGCCGCCGCCGCCGGCGACGGCCACCCCAGGCTGCAGCCCCTCTCTATTCCTCGCACGCGGCATCGCTTGTTTCCTCCCCCGCAGGCGGCCCCATCGTGCGGCTGCGGGGTGGCCTTCGACGTTGCCGGCTGGGCCTCCCGCTCGCTTCCTCGACCGACCACCTTTGCCGGCTCCTCCCTTGGCTCGCGTCACCGGCCCTGTGTGGCTCGGGCCCAGATTGTGAAGAGGCCGTGAGAGTGGTCTAGCAGGGTGAGCACAAGGGAGTTAGTTGACTGAGAAAATCGTGCCCCCATCCTAGGAGGGACACAAATTTGTCAAGGAAGCAGGGAAGAAACGAGTTTAACTTGGCAATTGGTAATGTTTCTATCTTAGATTCTTGGACGAGAGCAACAATACATGCTTAAGGAGATAATCTCAGAGAGGATGCCACTGCACTTGTCACTGTCGCCTAAACCTCTCACATTCCCTGATAAGATAGAGAAAGAGGTTCGATTCATGACGAAACCACGTCACACCGGGAGCAGCAGTGTTCCTACAAACACATTTGATGGTCCTCGTTCAAACCCCTAAAAAATCTGGTCAACTGTAAAACACACTGAGCAAAGGTCTCCAAACAATAGCCATGCAAACGCCTTGAAACTACTACCAAAATTTTGTAGTCACAAACCGTGAATGTTTTGATCCAACATATGTATTTGTTAAAAGCGAATGCAGACAATTCTAAAAAGTTTAAGAATACATGATGAAAATTGAATTTCACCAACGACGGATCTCCATGACAAACCCGGTAGTTGATCCTGAAACAAACACATTCGGGGTGAAATATGAGCCTTTTCAACCATGAAGAATTACCACAAATTTGGGCATGTGACACTCAGAAATTCCAGTAAGAAACTTTTCAAAGGAGAAAAAAGGTTTTTTTAAGGGAAGGAGAAAAAAGGTATACACACACATGCAACATTACCACACAAGGGTAAAATAAAAACGGAAACCTTCTGGCCATCTGATCGGCAGGCGGCGCTGGATGCAGCAGCAGGATGTTGACTGTGAATGATGGGTCGCGCATCCACCCTATCACGCGAACGTTCGCGTTTGAGTGCGGTTTTATTTTAAAGAAAAACCTGGCTTAATATGTGTACGGTCTCCGTCCACCTTCCTCATCCACCGCCCACCAGACCAAATCGCCGCCGCCTCGTTCCTACCTACACCGGCCGCCGCCGCCTCCGCCGAAGGCCACGCCCCGCTGCAACACCCCCGTCCCAGTACCTTCTCTCTATTCCTAGCGGCCGCATGGGTTGCCTCCCCCTCCCCGCAGGCGGCCCCACCGTGTACCTGCGGGGTGGCCGGGACGTCGCCGGCTCGGCCTCCCGCGCTCTACCCCGAGCGACCACTCATCCCTTTTGCCCGCCTCGCTGTCCATGTGTGGCTCGGACCCAGATTTCATCGCCAAGCCGGATAGAGTGGGGGGTCGGAGATGCTCTGAACTTCAAGTGGACGTATTTTTCTGTGAACAGAGCACACGCATGCTGTCACATTGGCTAGAGATCTCTCCCAGACGAATCCTACCGCTCCAGGTAGTAACTCTTACAGAAATCAACTATTTTTCACTAGTCACATTTGGTCTCTTCTGCTGCTACCTGCTAGAGTTACTAGTAATGATATCTTAAGAATACTTAACTTCAAGTGGAGTCAGTGGATGCATTTTTCTATGAGCACACACATGCTTTCACATGGCGGCCTCGGCGGAGTTTCTCACATGGTGAAGGAATATTTGGTGAATGCCGAAGTGGCCGACCAACAGCATCGAGGTGGGCGGAAAGTGAACACGCTCTCGTCCACTTGCCTTTGATCTGAATCTGCACAACCCCACACCATTTCTCCTCTGCATAGCAC